AGCTTAACTATTGGCTTAAGTTTTAGTTTATAACTAGAATCAATGTACGATTCAGTAGAAGTAATACATATCTTTATTGTGTGCGTGAGTATAAACACATTCAACTCGGATAAACGTCTTTTTTAAGGAAAATCTTTCAAAATGAGAGGAAAAATAGGGCACTTCGTGTGTCGTTATTAATGGTGAGGTTTTTTAAAAGGTTTCTATATCAATGTAAAAAAAGAAAAAAAAATACAAAACGTCAGAATCCCTTATCAAGAATTTGATTAGTAGTGTTTCAATAATTGGTCTTCAATTACAGCGTTTTACGAAGAAAGTTTGAACTAACTATCAAAATAATTTTAAGTTTTCGATAGATGAATAAGTTATAGAAAGTTGTTCCAGTCAACAGAAAAGCCGATAGCAACACTCCTGCAAAGACGACACTGTCATTTCCAGAGTAGATTCGAAAATTGCAACCGTTCTCACTTCACATAGAATATCATTGTTGTTTTCGAATAAAGATATTATTTAGTGTGTTACGAATCGAGTGAAACATCTGTCAGTCATGGCAATGCGGACTGGTTTTCTAAGTATTAGAAATTTGTTTAATTAGTAGTGGTTCTCTGTTTTATCTTGCCAATCCTTGCATTAATCGTAATACATAAAGCGATATTCATCCAGCAATCTAATTCTTGGATTACTATGCGTTCGTGTATTGTAAATGACATTTAAGAATTCAGCAACCTAGTGTTTGAGAAACAAGAAATTAATATTGAGATTTTGCATTAAGATAGAATATCACAAGTGAGAAAAAAAAAGATAAAACAAATGAGATTAGATAGATTTCGATTTTGTAGAGAAAGGATAGAGAAGACTAAGTAATCTGACAGAACGATCTTGTCTTGACAATTACTATAAGTTTTCATGCAGTAACCCTTTTTTTTAGAGTTGGACATGATGCATATACAGAGTGTCTGAAAAGTCCCTAATCTGGAGTGTTGTTTTTTGTATGCCGTCACTGTTTATATATCTTTATCAGCGGGCCTTTTTTGTACGTTAGGTGATACCATCAAGGTTTTCTTTTTTATGTAAAAACTATAAAAGTACTCGTTTGAAGTAGTTACCATCAGCTGAGAAACAAAAATTTTGCATTGTTTCTGGATCCGTAGTAACATTTTGTATTTTTTCTTCTTTAGTAGCTTCGAATTCTTGAATTATTTTGATCTTTAAGTTGTTCAAGTTTCGAACAATCGTTTTATAGAAATTAGCTTTGATGTGTCCCCATAAAAAGGAATCAGGTAGTACCAAGTCAAGATTCCAACAAATGAAGAAGGATCGCTGGGAAATGCTATGATAGAAGCCGAAAAAAAAGCGAAATGTTTGTTTCTCAGCTTTTATAGTTTTCCACAGAAATAAAGCCTTGATAGTGTTACCAGTCATATAAAATAATAGTCAGTTAATAAAGTTAAAATCAATAGGAAAGCTATAAAAAAAACACCTTTGAGTAAATCAAAGACTTTTCGAAGACACTATGCATTTGTTAATTGTTACCAGGCGCTTTCATCGAAATCATTAAAATCGTTAACAATGCTTGATTAGTCATAAAAAATGCGTTAAAACAGTGAAAGCTTCAGTAAGTCTGAGTGCTGAAACGTAAACAATGTGCTAAAAAATCACTAATTTTAAACTGTTTCAATACGATATTGGTGAGTAATCAAACATTTTTCAAAGCTTACATATTGAGATGTTTAAACTTCCTTTTGGCGGTTATCTTGTCTATCTTGAAAATGCGTTGAGGTACTCACACAATTAATGGTAGCGTATACCAAATAGTTGTGATCGATTATATCCAAAATTTTCTAGTAATTGTTTTGTTTCTATGGAGGATGAAAAACATTTTTCTTTAAGTAATGTCGAAATATCCGATACTAGTGACTATAACACAAGTGACATATCTACAGCACCACTAGATATCAAGTGAAAAGAGAAGTCGAAATAAGTTATACTTGATGTTTCCACCGGCAGCATCATTGTCAAAATGTATAATGTGTTTTTGAACCTCTTTTCTTATTTGTTTGCTCATATTATCTAGTCAGAATCTAAAACAAAGAATTTCATATATTTCTTGAAGAGCAAAAGAGGAGCTTTTATTTCACAAAAAACAGAGGAGGTAGAAAACTTTAAATACGGCGAAGATATAGGTCTCGAGATCTGATTTTCAATAGAAACACTTAGAAACAAAAGCTACATATACTTCATACAAATCAGAACTCATTATCTGTACAAGTGATATATTGTTGCCTAGAACAGTCCACAGGTAGCATCAGTGAAAACCCCACTTTTCAAATTTGACTCAATATTTTCATCGTATTGAAAATGATGAGAATTACATACTAATAGGGTTGTAGAGGAAGTGACACTATCGAATATACTATACCATCATGTCGAGCGATTCGGCATTTGTGGAATAATTACAGACCCCGGATTGGACGGTATTACGGCGCGCCCGGTCAATAGTGAAAAAGGCATACTAGAATAAATTTTTACCAAAGCGGCAGTCATGTTTATTATGGTTCGATGCGCCGTTTTATAAGGAATCTTAGTTTTGATTTTGTTTCGAAGAAATAAACTGTCAAAAACTATTCTTCAAAGTTATTGCGAACAAGTCGTTTTTTGGGTGTGGCTGTGACTGTGAGTCTGAGTAGGATGCAAATGTGGGTCTGGTCTTCTCATCTCACACTCACATTCACAATCACACTCGACACCCACACTCATTTCGGTATTTTAGCGTCAATACTTGCCGTTTCAACATTTTCTTTCCTCCGGTTCTTCTATGGTCAACCACAGAAAGTAAAACTCGAAAGATAGTCTTCTGTTTTGTTAGAGTAGATGAGTGTCAAATATCCTTGTGACCATTGTTAAACCTTATATGAAAGCATACTTGACAATCATATGCTCTTAAGAAAAAGTGTTTATCAGTTTCCACTTTATAATACTCGTATCCGTTTATTATTTTACAATTTTTTTAAATATTATACTAGGATGCCTATGATGTCAGCAGAACATAAAAGCCAGATGTGACAATATTCACAATTTTCAACGTCGTTCTCTATTCAGTTTCTTCCTACCTCACGACCACTACAGCTATACCTAAGGTGAATTTAACTTCTAACGAATTGTATACGACTGACATAAGGTCATCAGACACAGCAAAAAAACCAATGGCTTACATGAACATTCGTCTATTCCAGTTAGTTGACTTTAAAAGATCTCGTCTTCGATTGATGACATCCACGACCGTTTTACTCGTATTATTTTTACTTTTCGTGTTCTACAAGCAGCATAATTCCCGATATCATAGTTCCAAGTATGCGAATTCAGGATCTAAGATAAGCCTACGAACTATGAATGATTCGGTACATTCGCAACTCAATGGAACAAAACTTATTAATAGGAAGAAGTCATGTTTCAATGAAACAAATAACTCAACAGATGTGTTTATCGATGTCGCGCGAAAGTTGGTGAGCTATTGGGAAAGAAACGACATTGTTTTAATTATCCATTTCAACCATGACTATCACTATCACCACATTAGTATTCTTGCAACGTATCGGAATCTGTTTCCACTAGTTATTTTCACTGGTCCAGCCCCACATCCACAAGTGGTTCATTGTCCTGAGGGAAATAACGGCCATCAAGCGTACAATTGTCTCACGCGAGTAATCGTCCGATGTCCCGATCACGCAGGCTATCTGATGTCTCATTTTGATTTATTGCCAATGTTCTATAACCTTGAGAAACTCAACTTGGAAAGTGTCTGGCTTCCAGAAATAGCCTTAACTGAGGAGGAAAATGCCATTGGTTGGCATTGGGATTTAACCATCGGAAAAACAGCATTTCTTTCATTCATGTCTGAGCTCAAAGAACTCAGTCACAATAACAGTCGATATTTAAAATATTTGACCAATTATCAAAGTAGTTCAGAAACTAAGCTACCATCATCTTTCTCCGATATATTCTATCTCCCCCAGCGTATGATTACAGATTGGTTAGTAGTGGAAGAACTCATATTCAAGCATCAAATATTTCTCGAAATCGGCTTGCCACTCGCTACAACGTTGTTTTGTTCTTCTAAGAGCGACTTAGTTGTACTCCGTGGCGAAAACTGGAGTAAAATGAATCCCAGCGACACAATAAACATCGATCCTCAAATCTACTATTATCATCCTATCGATCATACGTCGCCTACACATCAACAATTTATAGAAGTTGTTCTCAACAGATCTATTTTGTCGTCATATTCTTAGTGATGAAAACAGCATCGAGTAAATTTCGTAATAAATTAGTACTATAAACGAGTGTTTTTTATTTGACCGTCTCTAAGACTGAAAGTCTTTACTATAACAAAGAAGCGTTGCAATCGATAAAGTTTTTTCCTTACTGGTACCAACCTAAATTAATCAGGCTGGACCAGACCAGTATGTAGACCAGCATGAGTCATTGTTGGGTGTGGGTGTATGTGAGTCTCGGCGTGTGTGGAAGAGAAGAAGCCCACCCCCACACCCTTAGAAAGCTCTGGTGTTCAGTATTCGATCCAACTTCATCTTTTCCTTTAAACGGTGAAAATTGCAGATATCTCTCTAGTTCCTATCGAAAAATATTCACAAGATCGCCATATCCAATACATTTTGAAAACGAATAAAGTTTGATATAAAAACAACTTTATTTTATAGAGATCAACGTATAGCAAGTGAATGATCAATTGATAATCCTAATTTAGTTGAATCTCTTCGATGTAATATAAGTAATCAATTTCAATCGAACACAAACAACAATTCATCATCAAGTTAGTTACAAAAAACATCTATTTCTTTAAATATTCTTATTTATTTTGTTTTTAAATTCTAATAAAGAAGTAAATTAAAGTAGAGTATTATTATAAGATATTATGTTAGCTTTTTCTTTTCGTTTTTTTTTGTCTAGATAAAATATTGATTAAAAAAGAAAAGAGTTTTGTTTTATGTTAGTTTAGCGTAAGATGCCATTGTAGCAATACCACACATATTGTCAGCATCTTTAACTAAACGTAAATAACCACTTTCACCCCATCCTGTTCCCCACGAGTTTTTTATTATCCAATAAGGGAGTTTAAGTTCTTCATCATAGGCATAACCTACCACAACCATAGCATGATCCATATCATATCGACCATTTGGACAACTATCTATTTTAAGTATACCACTTTGGTAAAACATAAAAAGTTCAGAATCAGCATCAAGTCCAATAAATATTGGTCCATTCTTAATAAGTGCTTCAGCCATTTGTTTTTCATCTCCTACAGGAATATCTACATATTCAACTTGACCAAGATCAATTTCATTAATACCATCTGTTCGACATGAATCTTGTTTTCCTATATACGGATAAGAAGTATCTGTAGCTATTTTACCACCTTTTCCGATGAGATAGTTCATTGTTGGTTGAAAAAGACCACCAAAACAACCACTATTATCATACTCTTCACTTGAACAATCAACTATCTGTTGTGGACTGAATTCAGTAACTTTTTCAGCATTTGTTTTTATAGCATAAACTGTTTCCAGAACCGCAACTGAAGCAAATGCATAACAAGATCCACATCTACCTTGATTTTTAATAGGGCTTACAACATTTTTTGTTCGCCAATCAAATACATTAGGTAGTGGATTAGTATCATTGTTATCTCGCTCTTGATTCAAAAGTTTGTCAAACCAGTCATCAGAGAATCGTCTATCTTTATATCGACGTTTTTGTAAATTTTGTTTTAATCTTCTTGAATCATCATGACGTTGATAAAGTCTTGTTAAACTACGTTGTAATGCGCCTTCATCTGATTCATCATCCATTATATTTCGTCGTAAACGAAGTGGAACTTTTAAACCTTTTTTTAATGCATCAAATTCGGCTAATGTCCAATCAGAAAATTGATTTAATCCTAATTGATATGTATGCGATTTTTCAAAATTTGATTTCAATACATATTTAAGATGTTTTACAAATATACGAAGACGTTCTCCTTCTTCTCCTATAAGAACAAGAAAACAAGAATGTCTTTTTTTTTTTCGTTAAAATCAAACAATCTTTTGCTTATAAACTAACCATTTGATGAATAAAGACGGTGATATTTTGCTTTAAAAAAAGACCAAATTTGACGGATAACTGTATCATTAAGCTTTAATGTTCCACCACGAAATTGAATTTTACCAGTATCAACAAAATGATCAACATAGTCTTGAAGAGATCTACGAGCAAGAAGTTGATCAGTAGATGTACAAAAACTAATCAAAAGAATAAGAGTAAATAATATCACATATAACTTCATCGTTGAATTTTTATATGCAACCAAGGAAATGGAATAAAATACTATTTATTTTCGCTCTCTCTCTATATACATACATGTTTAAGGTATACTGATTCTTTTTTGTTTAATTGAATACATACAAGAATAAATCATCTAGTCTTTCATGTTTTATTTAAACGATTAATCAAGCAAAAAAAAGCAAATATAAAATACTTAAATTTTGAATAGCATATATTCACTAGGATTATTCTTTCTTTGTCAACCGACTAATAAGTATTTGGATTGAGGTTTCGGGACGATTAGTTAATCATTACTTCAATAGCAAGTATACAAAAAAAACAAAGATTTACAAAAATAAATATTATTCATCGATAGTATATAATATAGTTATTATCAAAAGAGAATATCATAAGATGTCCTTATGTTAAATTTCTACTCCTGACAAGACCACGGTGATGCAGTACACATTTTTTCAAAACATAATGTCATCCAGACCGTATTCTAAGATAGACAAAGCTATTTTGAGTTCCTCTACACCTCAGAAGTCACTATTGGATCAAGTAGATGCAGATCACATGAAATATTGCGGACACATTAGGACTATAATGGTGAGACCATGGCAAAATTTTCAGTCATATTTCGTGATGCTATTAGGAGACATTCGACAATAGATCATTTAGTAACCTTAAATTCTTTGTGAGCCTTCATTCTACAAGATGGGCTAGAAGTTAGACAACACATCATTTGTTTCGATTTTTTTCTTTGTATATAATTATTTTGATCTGATATTTATATCACATAGGGTGGGTGTGGATGTGGGTATGGAAAAGGGTAAAACTCACACCCACATCCACACCCGAATAACTTTTTTGAATAGTTTGATACATCAATGGATAGATTCGTCGAATTTTATGGAATGTATTTAGCAATGTAGCTTTGAAAGATTTTCTTGATTTATTTATTTCTTCATAAAATAAATTTGTGGACATTCTATGGATACTTATTTTTAGTTCTAGTCTTCAAATACGATTTTGTAGCCTCCATATCATTAGCTTATCAAGTTATTGAAGACTAAAACTGTTGCCTTCTCATAGTTTAATTTCTATGTACGATTATATTTTGCAAAACTGATGTTCAATATGATATAATCGTTATGAAGAACAAGTGAAACTAACCAAAATGTTATATACATAGGAAAAAATTGAAAACATTCGAGTGTTCATATATATGGTAAATAACGACATATGGATTACAACCGTTGATGATGTAAATACAGTTATGTAGGACTAATTTAGTTTGGTATTGTAGGAACCGCTGACAAATGTTATCTGCTGCAAAACTAAATGGCGATATACAGTCGAATTATGGTGCGTCACTGGGAAATATACGACTGTTACGTGAACCAAAATGTTCGCAACATGCATAAATCCTATGACGTTGATGTTTTGTTTTTTTTGAAGTTGCGCCATGACAACTTCTACAAAAACCCGTATAAAGAGATTCTGTTGAATTAGCTCCATCATTTTTTGATACTCGAAATAAACAACTTGTATGTTAATGTTATGTCCTATCGTATTGCGAATAATAAAATTTGTTGAACAAATATTTTATTGTGCTATAAAAAGTTGATGATACAGCTTTTGTAGACCTTTCCAAGGCGCATCTTTCAAAACAACGTTCAAGATTTTATTAGTTTCTTGAACTGAAATATATACAAAATAAAGAGATCTAATTTTCTCGAACCGAAATATATGCAAAACAAGAAAATCGTTCTAACATTTTGTTATGCTCAATATGATGAAATTTAGCAATTGATATACCAATTGTTTATTTTGAGTACGTAAAAGTCATTTGATCGAATCAACCCTTTGTAAACAGGCTATATATGATATAACACGAATACAGTCACAAATGAACGGACTGTATTCACTGACCAGGTTTTGTCTCATTAGAGATATTGTTTCTTAGTCACTAACCTGACGAACCGACAAATTTTTTCGAACTTTCTCTATTTCATATAATTGAGATATATGGGAAAGGTATCGACTTTTAAAATAAACAACTAGTTTTATGTCTTATAGTCAATGAGGAACAAACTGATTTCGTGATTTCAACTATTGAAATCAGTTTATTCCCTATTGGATAAAGGTAAGGAAAGAACACTCACACATCCCACTATAAAATGAGTTACATAGTCTCTGGATCGATGTCAACTTGAGTACTTTCTGATGAAATCTAATCAAATAATGGCAGGTCATTTATTGCAATCATCGATTGATCAACTACGTCTGGATCCGTGAAGTTAGGAAAAGATTAATACAGAAGAATTGCTTCCATAGAAAACTGTTCATAACTACTCAAATCTTCACTTAATTCGATCATGAATGGTTGTATTACGTGACATACTATTGCTTGATCAGAGTTCATTCATGGGAGCCCAAATTCGACGTCGATCTCTTTACTAACTCGAGTTTATAACTCATATTCTCTACTCGATTCGATATATCTCAATTTTAATTCTATCATATATATGTATGTTGTAGTTGTCATTTCTATGTTATAGTAAAAAGAAAAGAAAACTCATAAATGAAATATTCTATAACACATTTCAATATCTATATTTACTTTTTCATTTAGTCGACTATTAATCAATTTTATTTACTGATTTATAAATTTTTGAACAAATCTAATTAATTAAAAATTGACCATTGAAGTAATATACTGATCATTTGATCTATTTTACTTATCACTTATATCATAGTCATAAAGAATTAATAGAGTAAAACTATTAAATAGTAATAAAGAAAAGTATAAACAATCGATACGATATTGTGATAGATCTATTGAATTCAACTGGAACTAGTCAACTAATGTAAATTCATAGTTAATTATAAATTTACTATAAAATATTTAGTTGTGTGAACTCTCCAAATCTAACATCATTGTTTGGTATATTATTGAGCGATGCAAATACTCGCTAAAGCATCATAGAGCAACTGATCTATCGAAGTAATCATTCTAAATTAGTTGAATGTCTTCGATGTTATATGAATAATCAATTTCAATCGAACACAAACAATACTTAAACATCAAATAAGTTACAAATAAAAATATTTATTTCATTAAGTATCTTTATTTATTTTTAGATTCTAATAATGAAGCAAATAAAAAGAAGAGATTATCATAAGATATTGATTAGAGAAGAAAAAAAAAAAGAGTTCTATTTTATGATAATTTAGTAATAAATGCCATTGAAGCGATACCACACATATTGTCAGAATCTTTAAGTATACGTAAATAACCATTTTCACCCCATTTTGTTCCCCAAGAATTTTTGATTATCCAATAAGGCATTTTAAGTCCTTCATCGTAACCATGACCTACAATAATCACAGCATGATTTAGTTCGTCTGGTTTATTTCGACATTTATCTTTTTTAAATACACCATTTCTATAAAATCTAAAACGTAGACTATTTGCATTTATTCCAATAAATATTGGTCCATAATTAGTAACTGCTTCAGCCAATTGTTTTTCATCTCCTACAGGAATTTGTTCATATTGAACTTTACCAAGTTCAATTTCATTAACATCATTTATTCGACATGAATCTCGTTTTTCACCATAAGGATAAGCAGTATTTGTAGCTATTTTACTACCTTTTTCTATTATATAATCCATTGTTGGTGGAAACAAACCACCTCCACAACCATCATTTTTTGAACAATCAACTATTTGTTGTGGACTAAATTCGGTAACACTTTCGGATTTTGTTTTCATAGCATAAAGTGATTCCAAAACTCCAACTGCAGCAAATGCATAACAAGATCCACAGTTACCTTGATTTTTAATAGGACTTACAACATTTTTTGCACGCCAATCAATTATATTATTAGGTTTACTAGTAGCATTATTTTTATTAAAAATACTATTAAACCAATCACGCCAAAATCGTCTATCTTTATGTCGACGTTTTTGTAAATTTCGTTTTAATCTTCTTGTATGATAATAACGTTCATAAAGTTTTTCTAAACTACGTTGTAATGCATCTGTATCTGATTCAACATCCATTATGATATCTCGTCGTAAATTATGTGTAACCTTTAAACCAGTTTTGAATGCATTGAATTCTGCTGATGTCCAATCAGAAAATTCATTTAATCCTAATTGATATGTACTTGATTCTTGAAAATTTGATAATATTACATATTTTAAATGATTGGCAAATAGGTTAAGACGTGCTTTTTCTTCTCCTACAATAAGAAGAAAACAAAAATGTCTTTTTTTTTGTTTTTCGTTAAAATCAAACAATTTTTTGTTTATAAACTAACCGTTCGATGAATAAAATCGATGATATTTTGCTTTGAAAAAAGACCAAATTTGACGAATAACTGAATCATTAAGTTTCAATCTTCCACTTAGAAGTTGAATTTTACCATCAGCCACAAAATTATCAACATAATCTTGAAGAGATGTATGAGCAAGAAGTTGATCAGTAGATGTACAAAAACCAATCAAAAAAATCAGAGTAAATAATATTACATATAACTTCATCGTTGAATTTTTATATGCAATCAATGAAATAGAATAAAATACTATATATTTTCGCCCTATATATACATATACATATTTAAGTTACATTGGTTCTTTTTTGTTTAATTGAATACATACAAGAATAAATCATCTAGTCTTTCATTTTTTATATATACAATTAATCAGGCAAACGAAAACAAATATAAAGTATTTAAATATGTATAGAACATATTCAATAGGATTATTCATTTTTTGCCAATTGATGAATAAGTATTTCGCTTGAGGTTTCGAAGCGGATAAACAACTATTAATATAGTTCTAAATATGAGAAAAGAAAGTTTGACAATAAGAAATACTATTCATCGATAGTATAATTTAGTTATTATCAATAGAAAATATCATAAAAAATAATTGTGTTCTATTTCTATTCATAAAAATACCACGATGCTACAGAGGACATTTTTTTTGAGAAACATATAATCACTGTCATATAGATCGTATTCTAAAGTAGATAAAGCTATTTCGAATTGTGTCAAATTTTTAAATATAAATTATGACATTTTCGGAAGACATTTAACAAACAAGATTCAAAAAATAGTTCATTTATCATCTTGAAATTTTCTGTAAGTTTTCATTCTATAATTTGACTATTTGTTTTCTTTTTTTGATTTGAAAGACTGAATCAGATTGTTGTGGAAAACAATGCCTTTGATTTTAATTTGTACTATTTTTACAGAGTAAAAGAATGACAAATTCAATAAATTAAAGAAAAAATAGTCCTCCGTTTATAGAACTTCCTTTTTTTTTTTACATAATAATAAAAATCTTATTTCAGAAAACAAATACTATAGCTTCACATGTTCATTGAGAATTCTTGAATGCATGATCAGAAAAAAAACAAAAACTAGAGAAGAAAAAAACCAACAAAATATCTCGCTTTTGAATAAAGAAATTATATTGTTTGTGAAAGATCCAACGGTAACCTAATATTTTATGTATTTAATCTTAATTTCAATGAATTTGACCGGAATGAACTTTTTTACCTGAGGGAAAGATGGCTTAGATAAACATTTTTTATGGCTCCTAAATAAATATATACCATGTATTTGAAAAAGGGTCTTTTTTTTTTTTTTATTCAACTTTTTAGGTTCTCAGTTCTATAATATTGATGAAGTATTTGCTTTAAGTGTAGCGTGAAATTACAGAAAAATAAAGAAAGAAATCTATCGACTAGGTCTTTCGATTATTTTATATTTCATTTTGAGTGATTTATTTTATGTAGAACACGAGAATAAAATTTCAAGATCAAATTAGTACTATGCGTTTTCTGCTCTATGATAGAAGTCCAATGTTTAATAGTACAACCATGAAACTGCTTGCAGAGATCTAAACCAAAATGATTGTCGACTTAAGACACATCAATCATATATTGTGTGCTGTATTATAATGAGTTGCGATATAATACCATACTGTTTATATTTGTCATACATGATGTTGAATAAATGTAATGCATTGATGTTGTATTATTAAAACATACTATATTTAAGATTCGAGTGATATACAATTGATAACTTTTTTTTCGAGTTCTATCCAATGCATTTAGCTATACAGTTTTGAAAGATTTATTTTGATTGTGTTTTTTATAGTAACTGATGTTAGCATCACTGTTTAGTCAATATAATTAGACAAGCATACTTTATGTATATTCCAAATGTATCTTTTTTTGTCTTAAAAATTAAGCAGTATTCATGTTATGGATATATGTTTTTATTTCTGATCTTTCGATATATTTTTGTAGCTTCCATATTCTTAACTTGTCAAGTTATTGAAGATTAAAATGGTTTCCTTCTCATAGTTTACTAACCATGTAAGGCTGCATTTTTGCTGATATTTTTCTAAGTCTGCTTTACAACATTCTACAATTGTGATCAAAAATAAGTGAAGCTGTAAAAATTATCGTATATATATATATATAAGAGAACATCAACAGCATTAGGATACTCACATAAAGTGTATAAGTCTTTTCGTGTAACTTTCATCACTTATTTTGTTTTGTAATACGTAAATGAATATTGAAATAGATTGCCAGTAGAAAGACCAAAAAAGAAAAGTATTGTAAATAGAGAAATAGAATTTGGAAAATAGACCTCGTTGGTTCGAATCCAAAAAAATTTGAACCCGACGAGCTCTAAACGTCTGTAGAGTTCGCTGATCATTTAATAAGAAAAAAACGTTGGATTCAACAAACTCTGATGAATGAAAAGAAAAATCTCATTCAATAGTCTAAAAGAATTGCTATTCAGCATCGTTTAGATAATCTGTACTAAATAATAGAGTTCTGCGATTCCAAAAATTAGCTAGAACTGTTTAATTAATTTCAAGAACGAAAAAAAAAAGAAATTGAAGATTTTTTTTTGTGTAGATTTAAAAATTTTTGCATTTATCGAATGATTTAACAGTTTGGACTGTTTAAACTGTTCCACAATGTTTTTTTTCCATAGTATTCTGGTTCGGTTTTCAGTTCCAATTTTTATTTTGTAATCATCGAACCCTAGTGAACGATATTATGATGACCTTGTAAATGTAATTGAATATTTATATGACTTGTCATTTAGAATTACTAAACAAAACATGGCACTATTATTGCTTTCTTTTTCTATCACTTGACTTATGATCTATATTATCAATGTTAGTAATAATATGTTAAAACAAAAATGTCTTGTTAATTCAAGTTTTTTTTTTATCATTTTCTCCTTCGATCGTTGAATAGTACATCTTAAAAATTTGTCTTTTTCCTTTCATATACAATTGCTCTTTCTCTTTATTATATTTTCTTTTTCAAAAGTCTACCTTCAAGTATACGAATTTATTGTGTAGAGACACCAAATAAAGTGAACCATTTTGTTTCATTCATAATAAACACAATGTAATAGAAAAAGAAAAAAAGAAATGTAAGATCAAAGAATATTTCTTATTGAAAATACGATTCACTATCAGGTACATAACATGACTTCTAATATTGAGAAAAGCACATGTACTTGATAAAGATCACAATTATACTTATTTATGATATTCAAAACTATAGACTATCATCAATTGAGAAAAATAGGAAAACAATGATCAAATATTAATATTCATTAGATATGCAATTCATTAATGTTATTTCCTTGTTTTTTTTTTTCTCATCGAAATATATGAAAATATAAAGAACTTTACAGTTAATCAAGTAAAAACAAAAAAAAAAGTTTGTAATATAAGACTAAGATATTTTCTTATGATTAAAAGTACTAAAAAGAAAAAGAAATAAACAACATGCAAACACATAAGTTCAGTTTAGAAGAAGATTTTTCTTTTTATTTTATTCTATAAGAAGAAAAAGCAAAATATGAGTTATTCGAAAATCAATAATTATTTTTTTATGTTATTATATGTCAATACTAATAAAAATTATATAAAAATATTGATTCATATTGAAAAAATCAGAATTATTATTAAGTTAAAATTGACTATTTATAATGATATGAATATAAGTTAATCAGTCTATTTTCCATTAATTCAATGGAATGATGAATGTTTATTCTAATAGAATTTAGAATCTTAATTGATCTCATTGAAACCTATTGAATCTTATATATAATAAATCGATTATTCTGAATATTTTTTAGCTTCTTTTTTTTTTCTTTTTTTTTATTAATCAAAACATCAGCATATTAATATGTCGAATAAAAGAATTATTCAAATGAATCAATTGATTAATTTATATTAATAATGGAAAAAAATCTTCAAAAATGATTATCATATAGTTTCGAGTCTGTTTTACATATGAAAAATGTCTAAATGCAAAAAATATGTCAGACATAGACGACATTCAACAACAAAAAAAAAACTATATATATATATATATATACGATAATGGATAGCAATTCAGAAGCAATACTCAATCATTGTCTCATTGCTCTCAAATCATCAAACATTCCATCCATTTAGTATAGATTGTTAAAAACAAAAAAGGCACGATTAGCTGAATTTCCATTTATATTATGATATTCTATTTCTGTTGATGAGCTGTTCTTAGTGTTTTAATAATCGAGTCTTTTTTTTTGTTTTGTAAAGAACTAAAGTCCTTTTAATCTCCTATAGATTTTAGTAGGCATAGTTCTTCCTTTGTTTTTTCTTTACATCTTAAAAGCAAGTAGAGCATATATATATATATATGTGTATGTTCACATGCAACAATAACAAAGCATGAAATATTAACATTGACATTATTTCATCTATGTAAATGTCTGTTGTAGATATATATATATATATGAATCTATTGGAAAAGAAATAAACAAGTCCATAGAATTTCATTTGATTAGACTATTTGACATGCTTATATAAGTGTCATTTTTGTAACTTTGCATGTTGACACTTGATACTTGATTTAAGTTATATTGTCATTAGAAATTATTATCATCATTAAACGAGAACCACTTGAATATACTGATTTATGTGTCTATTAATCAAATTCATAATAAAAAAAAAAAAAAAATTTTTTTCTTATATTTTAATAAATCTTATGAAATATGTTTGTTATCTATTTATATTTCATTTGTCTTGATCTAAAGAATACTAATGTTCTGTTTGTTTTTTTTTTCGACATTCATTCATTCATTTTATAGTCAAAAGGGAATTTAGAGTTATGTGATGCATCATCATTGTTGTTGTACCTCATTGCATGTTAAAAGAGAAAAAAAAATAAAGAATCATATTATCATAACATCAAAATAAGTAAACAGCTGCTCGTCATTTGAACAGTTTGTTAGATGAGAAATGAGACAGTAAAAACAACATCTTTTGGCATAAATGGCAAATATATATATATATATGTATAAGTAATGTATCTAAAACATAATTAATAAAAAGAGAAACATACGTTCTGTTTTTCTCGTTGATAAGCTATACTATTTGGTATAATTACTAGCTATACATTAGAACATAATATTTTACCTGTTATCTAGTAAAGTTCATGACTACAA